TTCATGTGTGGACTTGAGCCTCATTCCCAAGATAATTCTTTGTGTAGTCAAATATTCCAAAATCTGGGGCGGGGTGGAGTCAGAAATCCAAGATATTTCTGGTCCCAAACGTTTTGACTAAGGATGTTCAATATATACATAGAAAAGGGTCCAGTTCCTAGTTGTTGCATGAATGAATAAACAAACGAACAGTCTAGTGTGATAAAGATAAGCAGGCATTTCCAGAAGGTACACACTGAAATGCTGTAGGGAGGCTGGTGACGCAAGATCAGGACTAAGTGTTCCCAGGCTGATCTGCACTTGAACAGGAAGCACCAGAACAGCCTCTGTCATCCCACCCTGGAGGGCTCAGCCTGAGTCACTCTCCTCCCCACACATACCTGGGGTGGGGTTTCTCCAGCGCTGACCATAGAATGCTCCTTGTATGGAGGTTCTCAGATGTACTTCCACCCAGATGTCTTAAAGCTGGACCTCTGCCCTTCATTCAGTTCCCAAGTTTCTACTTGGGTCCATGGTTGTATTAGTTACCTATTGCTGTGTAACAAATTACTTCTAAGCACAGTGATTTAAAACACACATTTATTATCACAGTTTCCAAGGTCAGTAACCGGGCTGTGGGTTAGCTGGGGTCTCTGTCTCATGGTCCCTCACAAGGCTGCAGTCAAGTACTGGGACAGGATCCATTTCTAACCCACTCAGTGGTTGTTGGGAGGATTTGGTTTCTCACAGGCTGTTGCATTGAGAGCCTCAATTCCTTGTGGGCTGTTGGCCACAGGCTGCCCTTGGTTCTTGCCATCTGGGCCTCCCCAACATGGGATCTTGTCTTATTGAAGCCAAGAGAGTTGGCTAGCAAGATCAAAGTCATAGCCTTTTGTAACCTAATTATGGTAGCAATATCCTGTCCTAATCACATATTTGTAGAGTTACAGACAAGTCACTATGTCTAACCCACACTCTAGGGGAGTGGATTATCCAAGGGTATGAGTACTCAGAGGTGGGAATCACTGAAGGCCATTTTTGGAGTCTGCCTGTCACAACTGCCTAGAACTTCCATTCTTTACCAGAGCATTAATTAGGCTTGGCTGAAGGTTATTCTTCGTCAGTTGTCTTCGCCATCTTGGTTGGACCAAGGCAGAAAAATATCACGACCTTAAATTTCCCTGTACCCATAACAGTGAATGCTTACATCATGCGAACTACATTCCAGGCATTGCACAAGTTTCACTTGAGCTTTGCAAATATCAACTTAACTAATCCTCGCATCAGTCCAAAGTGGACACTCTTGTGAACTCATTTCGCAGATGAAACCGCTGAGTCACAGAGCAGCAAGCATTCACCAAAGCTCGCACAGCTCTTCAGTGGTTGACTGGGATTTGAGATCCAAGAGTCTGGTTCTAGAATTCCTGCTGTTAACCATTATACTCTCTCACAACCCAAATATAAGCTGGGGCATAATGTTGTCCAGTCTGGCATGGTGTGACATTTAAATAAACATTGGAAACAAGCTGGGTGTGGTGGCACATGCCTGTTGTCCCAGCTCCTCAGGAGGCTGAGGTGGGCTGCAGTCTGGCTTCTGTCCTCCTATTTCTGTATCATAAGACAAACAGAACCACCAGAGCCAGAGACAGAAAGGAAGAAGGTGAGCAAAATAAAAGCTGGTGGAGGAGTAGATGAGGGGAGAAATGAGAGTCGACTGGGATCACATAAACTAACAATCCATATCTTGTCACGTCCCAGGAGACGCATGACTATGGTCCTAGGTCCTTATTATCACAGCCCAGTAACCAACATGGCAGTGCAGCTGTCCCCACAGAGCTGAGGACCTGGGTGTGGCAGGGCAGCTTCCTTCTGATCCAGCTCATCCAGGGGCTTCTTCTGAAGCATGGAATGAGGGTGAAGGCACATAGCGACCAAGGACAATGAGAGGTGCCCCCAAGTCTGCAAGCCCTGTTACCAACCCATAGACTTGAGGTTCTCCTGGCTTCTAAGCTTGGGATCTGCTTGCAGGAAGCCGTGAGAGCTGATTTGGGAAAGATTAAGTGGCCACATTTCATTTCTCTCAAAGGAGAATAAGAGGATGAACTCTTAGATCCTGTAGTAGCTGCCCAGCAAATCCTCTCACGGGCCCTGCAATCTATTCCTGCTGCCAAAACACTCTTTCATAAATCCTGCCCTAATCCACACAGCTGGCACCTGAGACACCCCCCACTTCCTGTCTCTCCACCTCAATCCATTTCACACACTATTGCATTGATCTTCCAAAACACATTTTCCCTACTTGGGTCCCAGTCCTCCCCTGTCAGTTCCTCCCCAGACCTCAAGGCCTGAAAGCCCTCTTTCCAGACACATTAGTTCTGAAAGTGTCCTGGGATCCATCTCAAGCTGCTGGCTCCCTGATTGCCAAGTGCTGTCCACCTTGCTGCCTCCATGTCATTCCTCCTGTCTGTGTCACTTTCCATCTCCCTCTGCTCATCTCCCTCCACCTGCTAAATTCAAAAAGCCTCCACTCTTTAAAAAGCCACCTCCCCAAGACACATCTGCATATAATGGCAGCCAAGATTCCTCCCTTCTTTCATCTCCTGCATTATTCAATCAATCGATCATCTTGGCATGCCATTTTTCTTAACATTCCCATATCCATATACCACCCACTTTATTAGAAAATATGTTCTTTGAGAGAAGAGGTGTCTTCTTGCTCAGGCTTGAATTTCCTACTGTGCTCAGTAAAGAACCTTAAATCAGTGCATGTTAAATGTCTGATCAGTAGTAGTTGATTCAAAATCAAGTTTTCAGGGGCTGGGGATGTGGCTCAAGCGGTAGCACGCTCGCCTGGGCATGCGTGCGGCCCAGGTTCGATCCTCAGCACCACATACAAACAAAGATGTTGTGTCCGCCGAAAACTAAAAAATAAATATTGAAAAAAAAAAAAAAAAAAAACCAAAATCAAGTTTTCAGGGCTGATATCTCTGTTGTTCATATCATTTCACATCTTTAAAATTTGTGCCTTTATTTTATTAATATAGCATTTTACATTAGTTACTTTAACTGCCTTTTTCTCTTAAAAAAAAAAAACAACAAAACACTTTAACCAGCTGGATTCAGTGGCACATGCCTGTAATCTCAGCAGCTCTGGAGGCTGAAGCAGGAAGGATTGGGAGTTCAAAGCCAGCCTCAGCAATAGTGAGGCACTAAGCAACTCAGTGAGACCCTGTCTCTAAATAAAATACAAAACAGAGCTAGGGATGTGGCTCAGTGGCTGAGTGACCCTCAATCCCCAGTACCAAAAACAAAACAAACAAACAAACAAACAAAAAAACCAAAAAACAAAAAACCTGATACACAAAAACATAAAAGTTGTGCATATTTATGGGGGACCATGTACTGTTCTGTATATGTTTAGGGCTGGGATGTAGCTCAGTGGTAGAACACTTGCCTAGCATGCATGAGACCATGGGCTCAATCATCAGTACTTCAAGAATAATAAGTACATAATAAATAAATTAATAGACACTGTGTAATGTTTAAATCAGATTAAACATATTTGTCTCCCCAAACATTTATCATTTCCTTCTTATGAAAACTTTGACAATCCTTTTTGTGGTTTTAAAAATTGTATAATATATTATAGACCCCACACTGTGCAATATGAGCACCAGAGATCCTTCTTCCTGTCTCTTACAACCCACTGATCAGCCTTTCCCAGTTCCTCTCCCCTTGTTTCACATCTTTTGCTGAAATAGGTGGGGATGGCAGGAAACATTCCTTTGAAGAGAGAAGACGCGAGGAAGAGCAGGGGAGAGGCCCTTGACCTGGGCAGTCATGGTCAAGTACATTCCACAGCGTGGATTTCATCAGAGCTCATGAACATGTATTCTCTGGGTGTTACCTAGAGAGCAACACCTTCAACCAGCCTGGCCTCGTGCTTTTCAACCTTGTCACCCATCACTGTCAGAGGACAAATAAGACAGACATGGGATGGGCATCTCTGAAACCTAGTTCTAGAAAGAGCAGTTACCAGTACTGAGAGGGTACTACCCCAGGGCTGGGGATGTACACCCTCGAGGCATAATCTCAATCTTCACTCCAATTCCTACCATCATGCTTATTGTATAGATAGGAAAACACAGGCTGAAAGGGGTAGAGTATTAACTGGGTGCAGTGGCACACACCGTAATCCCAGTGGCTCAGGAGGCTGAGATAGAAGGATTGCAATGAGGCCAGCCTCAGCAACTTAGCAAGTCGCTGAGCAACTCAGTGAGAACTTGTCTCTAAATAAGATACAAAAAAAGGACTGGGGATGTAGTTCAACAGTTAAGTGCCCCTGAAGTTCAATCCCCAGTACCAAAAAAAAAAAAAAAAAAAAAAAAAAAAGGTCAAGTATTTGCCTCAAATTAGCAGGTGGTGAAAGAAGGGCTTAAACTGAGGTTTGTGTGACTTGAGTCCATTCTTAGAAGCACTAACTCTGCCTTCTCACATGCTTCTTTTATGCTCAAAATAGAGTCTTGCTCCCTTTATTCTTTGAGTCCTGCAAGGTGGTTGTGGGAAAAGTTATATGTGACATCAACTATTTGGCATTCTTTGGCTCTGGAGATTCCACACAAGCATAGAGTAAACTACTCCTGGATTTTTCCAACATTCCTTCACCTGCATTACTCCCTGTGGGCGGAGGCAGTATCTACTCATACATCTTAAAGGTATCCCTCCCACCTTCCTCTGCTAAGACACTCTTGACTGTGCTTTATCCTTTATCTGTTGTGTAAGGTTTTGCAAGCCTCTTCAAATCCTCTGTGGAATTCAAAAGTAAATAAAATATGCCTTGAACCTGTTGGTATTCAGCATGGCATGTGAATGTAGAACAGTAGATGCTTAATACGTGAAGGAGACTTGGAGAATATCTTATCTAGGTTTCATGCTGTGTCACGGAGTTGCTTGTTGGGCACTTTGGGCTCCTTGCCCTCTGTCCCTGGAGCTCTCCACTCGAATGTCTTTTGCATCTACAGCATCCTGGAAGCTATCCTCAGAAGAATGGATTCCCTAACTAACAGAAGTTCAGATTCTCACTGGAATCCCTGTGCATGGCTGGTAGAACGTGAAGTGATATAACTACCAGGGAGAAATGGTAAGGCAACTCTTTAACCAATTAAACATAGAATCACCATGTGACCCAGAAATTTTACTTACGGGAATATTAACGGCAGGGACAAAAACTAACTTGCACATGGACATTCATAGCAGCATTACTCATAATAGCCAAAAGGCAGAAGTAACCTAGGTGTCCAGCAACAGAAAAACTGACAAACAATACAAGGGTGTACGTGTGTGTGTCTATATATATATATATGCACAGTGGAATTTTGCTCAGTTTTCAAAAGAAGGAATTCTGGCTGCATGTGGTGGTGCATGCCAATAAACCCAGATACTTGGGAAGCTGAGGAAGGAGGATGGCAAATTCAAGGCCAGCCTCAGCAAAATCAAATAAAAGAGGCTGGGAATGTAACTCAGTGGTAGAGCACTTGCCTAACATAGGCAAGACCCTGGATTCAATCCCCAGTACTGGAAAGAAAAGAAGAAGAAGGAGGAGGAGGAGGAGGAGAAGAAGGAAATTCTGGCATATGCTACAATATGGATGGATCTATTATGCTACGTGAAATAAGCCAGTCACAAAAGGACGATGTTGTAGAGTCCACTTATATGAGCTTCCTAGACAAGTCAGTTCATAGAGACAGAAAATGGAACGGTGGTCCCTGGCAGGAGGGAGGAACTAGGAGTTAGTATTTAATGAAATGGGATTTCAACTTGGAAAGATGATCGAAGTTCTAGATGTGGATGATGGTGATGGTCACACAAGTTTGAATAAACTGCCACCAAACTGTGTACTTAAAATGGCTAGAATGGCAAATTATAAACATTTACCACATTAAGACACATCTAAATTTCATACTGTACGGAAGAGAAATCTGAGGTTCAAGGCAAACTGGGCTGTCGAAGATCACTTGGTGAAGTGAGGAGCACAGTTGGGACAAGATCTGAGGACTCCTAGCCATCAGGCTGTGACTTTTCTCATTAAAAGATAGTCCCTCCTTCCTGGGGTGAGGGGCCCAGAGGCTGAGCCTCTAGCATCCAGGAGCAGTTCCACAGAGGCCCTCCTTGTTTGTGACTCTGCTATCTCCATTTCACTCCCCGCCTTCTTTTCTCCCTGAACAGAATGCTCTTGATGGTCAAAGCAGGCAAAGTCCCCAAGGTCAGGCCCTGAAAAACAGACACAGGTGAAATGGACTCCAGTGGAAAATGTCTGTGCGTCTGGGAATTTTTCTGTTTTTTTTCCAGCTCTCTTAGCTCTTACTGTTGGGATTTCATTCAAAGTAGAATTGCTAGCACTAGGTTGGCTCTTATAGGAGAGTGTTGTTTTTCCACGTGCATCTCATCTGCACTTGCTGGTAGTCTCCCATGGGTGCTCTTGGCTGTGGTCCACCCAAGCCTCAGCCCATCCAGCTTGAACAGTGCCTCCATTATTGGAGAAGCATGCCCTGGCAAGCTTGGAAGGCATGTCCTGTCTTACCCAAGACAGGGCACACCCTTGGTTGTTTCACCAGCTGCAAAAATATCTGCACCCTTCATATGCTCTGTGTGCTAGAGGAGAGACCTCAGAGAGACCACACTAAGCTTTTCTTCATTTGGTCTTCTCATCCTGATGCACAGAAGGCTTAACCTGAGTAGGAAAGCAAGGAGAATTTGAAAATTGTTGAGAATTTGAAACCCACTGTGCCGGCTGAGATGAACACTCCACAGTTTGATGGGGTGCCCTGCGAGGAAACTTTAAGTTTTTTCAATATTTATTGAGCACCTGCCATGGGGTAGACACTGTGCAAGGATCTGGACTAGTGACTGAGGGTAACGAGCTGTTCATAATCTAGTGAGTTCAGAAGCAGATAATAAGTAAGGAAACAACTAAACAGACAAGAATATTATAAGCAGGACCTGTGGATGAAACAGTGAGATGGCGGCAGGTAACGATGGCAGGGAGAAGGTGGGCTGCTACTTTAGATAAGGTGTAAGAGAAGCCAGGCCAAGAAAGGAAACCTAAGCTACTAGTTGAAAGCTCATAAGAAGGCAAATATGCGAAGGATCAGGAGAATGACATATGCAAAGGCTATAATAAGACAGAAAGAGAGACACATACATGGGGACCACATGGGGACTACATGGGCCACCAGTGTGGCTGCAGCACAGGAAGTGATAGAAATATAAGAAGCCAGGACATAAGGGGCCTGGTGGGCTATCACAAGGAGTTTGGCTTTTATTTACTGAGGGTTTCACATTCATGGAAATTATTTTGAACCAACTTCACCTCCTTGACTGAGACCTCCCTGCTCAATCCTCTGACCATTTCAATTTGCCAAATTACTGGGCCCCAGTTTTAAATAAGTCCTTCTGTCCTCTCCTGCTATGGGGTAGAAAATGGGCTCAGAAATTCCACAGATGGGGGTTGGGGTTGTAGCTCAATGGTCGAGTGCTCACCTAGCAGGATTGAGGCACTGAGTTCAATCCTCAGCACCACATAAATGTAAAATAAAAATATTGTGTCCGATTAAAAAAAACGAAAAAATTAAATTAAAATATTAAAGAAAAAGAAAAAAGAAATCCCACAGACCTTTTGCAAGATTTCATGAGTTTTCATCTCATCTGTTTCTGCGTGTTGGAACTCAGCATTCAGAGCCTGCCCCTGTCTGGGGCCTGACAAAGCAGAAGGGAAATCTGAGAGCATTCCACCCACCCTACTGCATCTGGAATAAAGATCAGGCCAGGGGATCTTTAAATCAGAATCCAGACTTCCTGTCCTGCCTCCTCCCCTCAAACAACTGAGGTTAAATAATTGGCCTTCAATCTGTGAATGGACACTGGTCAGAAATCCACCTAGGCAAGCTTTCCTCATTTACCAAAGCCACAATTAACCACCACCACCACCACAACCACCCCCACGAAAGGCTCATCCATCCACTCCCATGACTCCACCCCCACCGACAGAGGAGAACCCAGCTCATTCCCCAACTGTTACCTAGAAAAATAGAAACAGTTTCATGAGAGCACAAGGACCCAGAGTTTTTTTATGGAGGAAATCACCTGGGTTCTGCTGTCTTTAGCACTGGATCAGGCCACTGGGAAAAGATGACATCTGGAAGAGATGTGGGGAAAGCAGGGTGGGATATGGCCCCTTTTCTTCCTTCCTTCCTTCCTTCCTTCCTTCCTTCCTTCCTTCCTTCCTTCCTTCCTTCCTTCCTTTCTACCAGGAATTGAACTCAGGGGCACTCAACCACTGAACTGAGCCACATCTCCATCCCTATTTTGTATTTTATTTAGAAACAGGGTCTCACGGAGTTGCTTAGCACCTTGCTTTTGCTGAGGCTGGCTTTGAACTCTCGATCCTTCTGTCTCAGCCTCCTGAGCCACTGGATTTACAGGCATGCCCCTCCATGCCCGACTGGCCCTTTTTCTTTCTAACTGAAGGATTGTTTATTCTTGATCACTCAAGAGGGTTCCTGGTTCCTTCCATTTGTTCCATGAATAGTTATTGAGCAGTTAACACATGTGATGTGAAGTTTTCTTGCTTGGTTCTTTCCCAGTGTGGCATAGTAGAAGCAGCATGAATTGTGAGCCACTCCTTTCTGAATCCAAGAAATTTCCTTGGCCTGGTACAAAATATTTTACTTCCTCAAACATTGATATCTGCTTTGGCCACCTATGGGCCCTGAGAATCAAATGCGATCATGAATACCATAGTTCTGAAAACTGTCAAGGACTCCAAAATGATGGCTGTTTTGAGGCTATTGCATTGGTTTTTAGATGGGCCTGCTTGGGTCACTCAGAACTCTTCCACCCCAGGCCTGCAGAGGCCCCAAGCATACTGATCTCAAAGAAAGAATTTGGAGGACTCAATGGAGAAGTTTTAGACATTTTATGACTCACATGTTTCTTGGCAGCAGCAGGCCAGGATATATAATGGAGAGCCACACCATGCCTACAAGCAGGGGAAACATATAGGATAGGTTCCATGCCCACTGAGCAGGTGATTTCTTCAGATGTTTATGAGCACATTCCTTTACTTTATAACCAAGGTCGCTCTGCTTTGATTCTCACCTACAGACTGAAGATAAGTAAAGTGGCCAGCTCCCCCTCTCCATTTCCTTTGCTATCACATTTTTTTTTAAGAGTCCTTCTTATCTCACTGAAAGCTTCCCTAGGCACTGATTAGAGTTTAACCCCAGACACAACCTAAAGCCAGGGGAAGGAGGATGCTGCACTGGTACATGCCCCATCCTGGGCCCTTCCAACAGCCCTCACAATATGTCTTACACACACAATCTTATGAAATTCAGAAAATAAAGGTATCTTTCATAGTAGTTGATGAAGATCACCCTCTTTCCTCTCTGACTTTCTTACCCATAAATTAGTCATAATGAGTTGGTGGTAGACATTTTTGGTGTCTGGCTAAGAAGTTGAGTTGGGGGTACGCTAAGTTTGGATGGAGTGGTACAGATTTTTGTGGTCACTTCCATGTTTACTTAGGTTATTGCTAGGTCTCCTGGTATAGGAATAGCTTCCAAGATTCTCCTAACCCGACAGTGCCAACTCTTCTGGTTTCATAGCATGAAAGTGCAGGACCAAAGGCCAAATTGTCATATGAATAAGTTTCATAATACCCAGAACCAGAAATACGTGGGAGTAAGAGAAATCAGGTTTGCAATGTATGGAGCTAAAACTAGTCTTCAGAAAATTCTTCCAGTCATCAGTTGTTTGTCAATGGAAGAATCAGGTCTCACTGAGACCTAGTTAAAATAGAAGTTTGCTATTATCAAAAATATACTTGAGCTGGGAATGGTGGTACATGCTTATAATCCCAGCAACTTGGGGGACCAAGTCAAGAGGATCACAAGTTTGAGGGAAGCCTCAACAACTTAGCAAAATGCTGTCTTAAAATAAAAAATAAAAGGCTGGGGATATATCTTAGTGGTAAATCACCACTAGGTCCAATCCCTGGTACTACAAAACACACACACACACACACACACACACACACATACACTTGATAGTATATAGTATATACCATAATTATATAAATATAATTAACTTAATTATAATATCATAATGGTAACAAGAATATATATATTTCTTTTTTTGATAGGAATCTCACAAAATAGAGTTGATCACAATTCCTCATTTGTAGGGTACCAGCCCACAGCAGTATCACCAATGGCAGGCACAGCTGTGTTTGATATATCCATTCAGATCAGATCAGGTATTATTAACACATGGATGCTCTTATACTGACAGGTCTGACGGATGATAAAAGGCACACGACATTGCCACAGACAAGCAACATGACCTGAAGAAGCAAGTGCTTTTGTGCTTCTTGTGGTGATATGGGTGTTCAGTTCAAGTCGTACCTTGTTGTGAAGCCTCACAGTCCCTTCTGGCATCTACTGGTCTCTGGACAATTCCAGCACTAAATTCTGGACCACAAAGCCTAGCACTCACACTCCTATCTGCTGATCATTTCTACGACATTCTTTGCTTTGTCATGGGAAGACACATCAATGAATTTTTTTTTCCTGACTCACTAATCTTTTATCATACAAAAATGCCTGATGTGTGTGTGTTTTTTTTTAAAGAATGCTAAATCACTACAGCACCCAAACTTTCAAAGTAAGAAATAATTTTGTTAAATGGCATGCAAATGGTATTATGGTCAGGATCTAGGAAAACTGGAATCCTGCGCTGGACTTCCTGGAAAGCTCCCAATGGAGAATACAGATGGTCCTTGATTTAGGGTGATTTGACTCATGATATTTTTTACTTTCCCATGTCGTGACATGATACACATTCAACAGTGAAGCACACCCAACACATTCGTATGCACCAAGGACAATAGTTAAGCAAAATTAAGTAGACTATTCATTGCTGGCTGGGCTTGAGCTGGGAACTCAATAAGAAGAAATTATGAGTGGAACTCAACCACATAGATCAGGCTCTTTCTTTATCAATCTAATAAGAACTAAGAAACTTCTGTCCAACAAGCAACCTGACACATGGAGCAGGAGGCATATTGAGAAAGCAGCAGAAAAGCAGCAAGAGAGAGAATGCTTGCTTCCACTGCCTGGTCCTGAGCTGGCCCAGAGAGCTGTGGGAAGTGAGCCCTGTGTGCCTGTGAAAAACCAGAGCAGGAAAGACCAGGCTCTGTTCTTTCCACAACTAAAGGGAGAAGAGAAGCCGGTTGGCTGGACTTGCCTTGGACTGCATTGGGAGAGGCAGGCCCTGTGCCCACTTATTATTTTTCATCATAGAAATAATAGACAGACAGACAGGGCATGAACTAGGAATGATCCTAACACCTTTCAATTCTGCAGCATGGAAAAAGCAGAAAAATGCAGAGAGCGTTTCAGTCAGCCCATCCACAGATGAAGGTTATTTTAATGCATATAGTAACCTTGACCCAAGTAGAATCCCTGACTTGTACACTTCATGCAGAGTTTTCTTCTTGAGGGGAGGATAGGAAGAGAACTGGAGGGGATTAGGAAGCTCTGCCTCTCCTAAAACCTGCAGGGCACCATCCTCGTGATTTGACCTCAATTCATTTAGCAAAGGTTCTCAAAGATTGGAATTAAAAAAAAAGATTTTGGAAAACCTTGAATAAACTAAAAAATTTATCTTGGACTGAAACTGGGCATCAGGTTTCAAAAGTCAGCTTTTATATGTTATTACTTCTTAACCTGTAGATTTGCTTAAATGGTTATTATTTTATTGAAAGAGAAACATAATATGGTTAAAAAAAAGAATTAAACAGTACAACTCTAAGCTGCTAGGATGGGTGAAAAATGACATCTTCCTTTTATTTGCACTTCTTTAGTGATGAATGAAGTTGAGAATCTCTTGCAATTTTTAAGTGTTTTCTGATGTGAAATGCTTTTTCAAATCCTTCATCCATTTTTTATACTTTTTTTTTTTTTTTTGGTGTTGCTGGTGGTTGAACCCAGGGCCTTGTGCATACAGTGCTTACAGAGGCAAGCACTGTACTAACTGAGCTTAAGCTGGGAACTCAATGAGGAGAAATTGGATGAATGGAAATATAATATGAAGGATATATCCCCAGCTCTGGTCCTTTTACATTTCTAAAGGCATTTTGTCTGTGCAGAGATTTTTAATCATTTAATATTCTCTTTTATCAATTTAGGGTTTCATGTTCTTTTCCATTGTGAGACCTTAAATAATTTTTCCAATATTTCTTTGTATATTTTCAATTTGTTTTATTTATATTATATACTTTCAATTTGTTTTATTTCTCTATTTGAGATTTGTTTGGTGTAAGGAATTAACTAGAGACCCAACACCATTTATGAACAAATCCTGGTCCTCTGATTGGAAATGCCACCTTTATCATTTATATTTTCGAAGTCTTTAGGTTGATTTCTGGTCCCCTTTTCTGAGTCATTGATTTGACGGTCTACTCATAGTCCACTTCCAACCTATTTTAGTTAGATAGCTGCTATATTAAATTAAAAATACCATATTATTTATCTCCCATCAGATTTGCAAAAAAAAAAAAAAAGCTTATATTTATTGGCACTGACATTAAATCCCATGCTATAGCTGATTTTTTAAACTGATTTTGACTCTTAAAATTCTGGGGTTTTGTTGTTGTTTCTTCTTCTTTCTTTCTTTCTTTCTTTTTTTTTTTTGTTAGTACTGGGGGTTGAATCCAGAGCCACATTCATGCTATACAAGTGTTCTATCACTGGGCTACATCAAAATTTTTTTTAATTTTGAAAGAGGGTCTTACTAAGTTGCCCACGCTGACCTCAGACTTGTAATCCTCCTGCCATATCCTCCCTAAGTATCAGGGATTGTAGGCATGCACCATAGCACCCAGTTTGACTTTTAAAATTCTTATTTCATATAGTTCAACTTGAGATATTTAGGCACTTTACTAAGTACTTTACAGCTATTAATTCAGAAAAAAATATACAAAAGCCCCAAAGGAAAATATTATCATCCCATTTTACAAACGATGGATCTGAGGCACAGAGAAATCACTCAAGGTCACATGGCTAGAAAGTAACAGAGTTGTGGTTTTAATTCAGATATGAAATTAGATGCCATAGCCTGTGCTTTTAATAATACAGGCTCTACAAAAAAAGAAGAAGGAGGAGGAGGAGGAGGAGGAGGGGAGGAGGAGGAGGAGGAGGAGGAGGAGGAGGAGGAGGAGGAGGAGGAGGAGGAGGAGGAGGAGACAAAAACACAGTCAACGCAACACACTAAAGTCTATGTATGAAAAGCCTATATCATAATGGGGAAAAGTGGAAGCTTTCCTTCTAAGATCTGGGAAAAGGCCAGAATATTTGCTCTCAGCACTTCCATTCAAAATAGTAATGGGAAAGCTAGAGCTATAACTCAGTTGTAGAGTCCTTGCCTACCAAGTATGAAATCCTGGGTTCAATCCCCAGTAACACAAAAATAAAAAACAAAAGAAAGCAAACGCACACAAAACAAAGCAAACAAACAAAGTAGTAATGGAAGTACTAGACAAAGCAATTAGATAAGAAAAAAAAAGAAAGAAAAAGGAAGAAGTGAATTATCTTTACCTGCAGATGACATAATCATGTAGAAAACGCTAAGAGTTCAACAAAAAGAAGATTAGAATCGATAAAAGAATTCAACAAAGTTGGAGGACACAAAGTCAATATACAAATTTTGATTGTGTTTCTGTACACAAACAACAAACTGTATGAAAAGAAGATAAAAAATCCCATTTATAATAGCAATGAAAAGAATAAAATACTTAGGAATAAACTTAACCAAAGAGTTGAGAGACTTATGCACAAAAAATTATAAAACATTGATGAAGGAAATTAAAAAAAACAGATGAAGGAAAAAAAATCTGTGCTCATGGATTGGAAAAATTAATATTGTTGAAATAGTCATATAGCACTGAGGTTGTAGCTCAGTGGTAGAGCATTTGCCTAGCTTGTGTGAGGCACTGGATTAAATTCTCAGCACAGCATATAAATAAAGAAATAAAGTCACGTGCACTGTTTATACTAATATGCATATATGAATTTAAAACATACTTTTAACATATGTAATAACAATTACATATAAAAAGAATATTTCAGAATGTTTAATTACATAAATGAGGAAAGAGTGGAAAAAGGGCAAGGAATGTTGAATTCTCACAAGGTTAACTGTGTAGCTCCCACTGAACTTGACATAATTTAGTTTAACATTAAATTAATATTTTGAACAACACTGGAGGATTATCACTATTAGGCTCATTTTGTACAAAAGTAGCTAAGGCTCAGAAAGGTTGACTAATTTTCCCAAAGTCACATGGTAATACACAGGACTGGCACCCACACTTGCCTGGCTCCAAGGTCAATGTTTTCTACTTCACCACAGGGCCGCTCTCCCTGCCCCTTGTCCCCACAAGGGTTGGAAGGCCCTTCAACTTATGAACTTCACAACTTTGACCTAAATGGGCCCTGCTTTTGCCCATAAGAATATTTACTAGGTATTTGAATGATATGTTTAACAGATAACTAGGTGGTGTCATTTATAGGGAGAGAGTGAGAATGGCCTCTCCAACAAATCCAAGTTCACTATCACCTCAAATTTAACATTTACACACAAGGCACAAGCTTTTCTAAAATTGCTTTTTGATTTCACTCTTTCATATCATGTATTTTTCATTCAAAATTATTTTTTATGGATTTTAGGCTTAGATTTGAACCTTAAGAGACTGAGGTAGGAATAGAACACTTGATGGTTTTGCCCATGTGGAACAGGAGAGCTGGAATTTAGACTTTATAAATCTTGGAACATTAAAGGGCTGCTCTGTCCTTAAACCATAACCTAGAAAAACTATTCCCAGTGGCCTGGGGAAGTAGATTTTGCTGATTTCCTCCTGTTTGAGACTTTAGGTTTTAAAAATTACATATCTGATAAGAAATCAAAGCCCAAGGCCTGAGCTTTACATATGTACAGTTACAAATTAAAAATTTAAAAAAACCAAAAAACTGATCAGGACTATTGAAACCTGGAGTCTGGCAGAACTAAATGGAAAACTGCTCAGTAGAGACACTTCTACTACCAGGGCTCATGAGAAATTCACAGCAAAAACAATTTCAACTAAAGATGAGTTTACAAACAAAAATTCAAATCCACAATTTGACATGGTTGCCAACGCACCATTTGATGTGACTGTCACTTAGGAGGAGTTGGCAATCACAACAAAGAGGAGACTTACTATTTTAGAACTAGAGATAGTGTAACAATCCAAATGATAGTATGAATTTATTGCTTTCACATAGCATTTGACATAGCCTCAGTATGGAGCAGTGAATTGGATTTCTGTGACTTATGGAGACAGATTGAGTTTATCGAAGGAGGGAAAGAAATCATCGCTTGTCTTTCATAATAGTAGCACAGCAGCTACAAACCTGATTGGGTCAGGAAAATTTGATTCCCACAATTTGAAGAATTATATTTATTGGTTCTTCCACATCCAGGAATTCTCTTGGAGTCAGAAACATGGGCCTTTGCCATTTGTTACATAATATTTTGAGATGGCAAACAAATATCGGACATTATGATTAGTAATCGATGAGACAGAAATGAGAAATTCTTCTCTTAGGTTTCTACATTCCATCAAGGGGAAGGTGAAAAGTGTTTTTTTCAAATTCGTTCTTTATTTGGTAAAATCAAACAGATATAGAACATTTTTTTCTGCAAACTGGAGAGAGAATCAAAGAGCATTTTAACGAATGACTCATTTTTGTGTGTAAAATAAAGTAGATGAGAAGCACTTGGTTAATTTCAATCATGATCTCAATAAATTTTAAACATGATCCTGTTTATACATGATCTCAAGAAAAAACCTTGGAATGTGATTATTAATGAATCTGAAGAGAAAGTGCTTTGGAGGAAACTGTCAACAAAATTCATATATCCTACAATAATTCTTTCTGTTTAAATGTAAGCTTGATATTAAGTTACTCAACTGTTTTCTACACTGGCATCAAAGGATTAGCATATTTTATCAATGTTACCTGAGACAACGACACTTCCTGTTCTTGCTGAAATGCTTATGACCCAACTGTGGAAGAAGAACTTCAGCTTTTCTTCCTTAGCTGGAGGTAGCATAAATTTCTCTGTTCCTACTTGTTCAGTGACACAGACTTAAAAACCATTAGGCTGAGCAGGCAAAGCAAGTGGCCATGGAATTGGTCCAAGAGAATGGTTCAGTTGTAGGATTAAGAAGTAGTAACTTGTTTTTCAGGCTCCACAGCACCCCTCCTTCCACTCCTTCCCCAGGTCATGTGGGTCATTGTCACTCCTTCCCTGACCTCATGTCCCCATCCTAGGGGGCATTTGGAGGTTTACCGAATCTGATTTCTTTGCAAACTAAATACATTAACTATAAGTAAACACATATTTAAATAAGATATAATTTAAAATAAAAATTTCTTTGGAAAATATTTTACTATTATACTTAGAGCACCATGAAATTAGTTCCTGTTTTGTTGGAAGCTAGAATTAGTTTTAAATATAGGTTGTTGCTAAATATCCATCATAGTGGACATATTAATAAAGAAAAACTTGGGGCTGTGGTTGTGGCTCAGTGGTAGAGCGCTTGCCTAGCATGTGTGAGGCG